ACGAAGTGTAAGATTTCAGCATTCAAAACATTAATTTAAAACAGAGCTCAATACAAAAGTAGAGCCGTAAATATTTACTTATTATGCAGTATTACATTAGAACATGCACATACCCACTACAAAACTGTACATCTTGTTTCAACGATAAAAAACGACAACTTTTTTAACGTTTCACCAGATGGGGAATTACGATTCGACGGAAATGCAGTTATCAAAGCATGCCTTCCACCGTCATTAGGAAGTTTCCCCATAAAAGGTATAAAAGAATTTACATTTTCAGTCATATATCGAAAGATACATGATTGCCTAAGCGTGTATTCCGCATGGCACATAACTGACTAATTAGATTGCCGGCAAAGTCTTATTTTTTTAAATTCAAAATGACTGAGGCGGTAAGGAGAATGTTACGCAAGGCATGCTGCAGTGTGTTCAGCAGGAACTGGACTACCGACTTGACGTGTGTCGTGTCACAAGTGGTGCTCATATTGAACATCTGTGAAGCTTTGTGAATTCGGTTATAAAACCTACTTTCTATTGCATTGCTGCCATATATGGTCTGGAGCCCCTTCTGTTTGCCTCGGGGTTCTTGATAGGCTCCAGAGGCGGATATGCAATATAATTGGCCCTGATCTGGCATCTCGTCTACAGACACTTTCTCACAGATGCGCCGTCGCCTCTCTCTGTCTGTTTTACAAATACTTTCACGGCAATTGCTCCGAGGAGCTGCATTCGCTGGTTCCCAGACTTCATGAGTTCAAGCGCCCTACGAGGCTGTCATTCCGCTCTCACCCTTTCACTGTCGAAACTCCTAAATGTAGCCGTCTCTTCTACTCTAATAGCTTCATGTCTCGCACCTCTCACCTGTGGAACTCCCTTCCCTATTCTAGTTTCCTTGAGAGCTATAATCTCCAGCTATTCAAATGTAATATCAATCGACATCTCCAGTTGCCTTGATCTATCCACTACCCTTCTCCTCATCCTTTCTTCTATCACTCCCTATCTGCTCTTGTTCTAAATTTTCTGTAGTCCCTTGCGTCCTAGTGGCTTCCGCCTTGCTTGGGGTGATACGCTTAAAATATATATATATATATATATATATATATATATATATATATATATATATATATATATTGTTCTTTAAATTTGACAAATAAATCTGTTATTTAACATGAAGCTTATGTAGTTTCTGGGACATGTAGATACTTAGATATTCACATTTTAATTGATGTCAATTTTTTTAGGGGGGGGCATTCTGTATATATTTACCTTTGATAAAGAGGTTATCAACAATAACCAATCCCAAAATAGTTGCGTGATGGCTAGCAACATTTTTATCGTAGATCTTAGCAACGTTAACATACGAATCTTTATGTTTATTTTTTAGAACTTTCACCTTTTGTCTTAAAGGCTTTTCTTTAAAATAACCGAATTACCAACATCGGTAATAATATTATTTTTATCATTAATAAAATATTAAGACTTGTGTAATTGTGGAATGACCAACTATAATTCAGAAAACGCGGACATCTTAACCACGGGAAATGAAGTATGAAAGAGCTATGTATTTCAAAATAAACTTTATCAATTATCAGAATTCAAAATAAACTTTATCTACCGTAATATATGCTACGCGTGCACCTAATTATTTATTGAGAGCAGTCAAACACAGAGCCCGAATAACAGGAAGAATTGAACGCACTACACCAGCGATGGCTTACGAAGACAGTTTACTAACAAGTGTTCTATGGTGGGCCTCTTGCTAACTAGCGTTATGTGAGATAAAATGCCTCAAATTGGATGAGCGATTATATATGGTACGCATGCGTAGATAAGCAGGAATTTAATCGTCTGCGTTGGAGCAGGAAAGAAAAGGAAAGAAAAAGAAAGCTGAAATACATATTTGCATAACTTAGAACCAGCGAACAGCATATCTCTTTCATGACACCCACCTGAGCTACGATCTCTGGTCATTTTGTTCAAATAAGACGCTTGCCATCCACTCTGTAATATAAATAAATGCATAGAAACAGGTGGAGCTACACAGATACCATTGTAGCATTGTTTGATAGTTCAATGCCACAATACAGAATTGTTCTCGAATCTAATATGGCCGAAGTTTAAGTGCTGATGTCATGTAGCGTACAAAATTTTTAATTCACTCATGAGAAGAAAATGTCATATTTCGACTTCGAATATCGTATCAAGTAGATGGGCGTTTATTCCCCAAATCAAGTACTGTCAATATAAAGACAATAACTTAAAGGATTTGAGACATAGACCTACCTATCTCTGTTCATTACTAATCTATTCATCACAGTATTCACATTTCTTTCATTCTGTTCTTTATCTATCTATCTATCTATCTATCTATCTATCTGCCTATTACACTCTTCACATCGCTTTCATTCTGTTATCTATCTATCTATCTATCTATCTATCTATCTGCCTATTACACTCTTCACATCGCTTTCATTCTGTTATCTATCTATCTATCTATCTGCCTTTTACACTCTTCACATCGCTTTCATTCTGTTATCTATCTATCTATCTATCTATCTATCTATCTATCTATCTATCTGCCTCTTACACTCTTCACATCGCTTTCATTCTGTTATCTATCTATCTATCTATCTATCTATCTGCCTCTTACACTCTTCACATCGCTTTCATTCTGTTATCTATCTATCTATCTATCTATCTATCTATCTATCTGCCTCTTACACTCTTCATCGCTTTCATTCTGTTATCTATCTATCTATCTATCTATCTATCTATCTATCTGCCTTTTACACTCTTCACATCGCTTTCATTCTATCTATCTATCTATCTATCTATTACACTCTTCACATCGCTTTCATTCTGTTATCTATCTATCTATCTATTATACTCTTCACATCGCTTTCATTCTGTTATCTATCTATTCCACTCTCCACATCGCTTTAATTCTGCTACATCTCTATCTATCTATCTATCTATCTATCTGCCTATTACACTCTTCACATCGCTTTCATTCTATCTATCTATCTATCTATCTATCTATTACACTCTTCACATCGCTTTCATTCTGTTATCTATCTATCTATCTATCTGCCTATTACACTCTTCACATCGCTTTCATTCTATCTATCTATCTATCTATCTATCTATTACACTCTTCACATCGCTTTCATTCTGTTATCTATCTATCTATCTATCTATCTATCTGCCTATTACACTCTTCACATCGCTTTCATTCTATCTATCTATCTATTACTCTTCACATCGCTTTCATTCTGTTATCTATCTATCTATCTATCTATCTATCTGCCTCTTACACTCTTCACATCGCTTTCATTCTGTTATCTATCTATCTATCTATCTATCTATCTATTATACTCTTCACATCGCTTTCATTCTGTTATCTATCTATCTATCTATCTATCTATCTATCTATTATACTCTTCACATCGCTTTCATTCTGTTATCTATCTATCTATCAATCTATCTATCTATCTATCGCACTCTTCACATCTCTTTCATTCTGTTATCTATTTATTATAATTTTCACGTCTCTTTCATTCTGTTATCTATCTATCTATCTATCTATCTATCTATCTATTACACTCTTCATATCGCTTTCGTTATGTTATCTATCTATATATTACAATTTTCACATCTCTTCCAATCTATCTATCTATCTATCTATCTATCTATCTATCTATCTATCTGTTCATAATCTATTTCACTCTGTATCTACCAGGCTGTTGATTATTAACCCCTCCTTCTCAATCTATTCATCTATCTTTCTATCTGTCTATCTATCCAGGTAAAAGTGCTCAGTGAAACGTTATGCTTTTTCTTGTGTCTCGAGTGGCATGTACACCAAAATTCCGAGCTAGATTTACCGAATGACAAGCTAGTATATCCAAGAAGAGATGTAGAAAGTGACACGTATATCTTGAAAAACAACCAGTAGATGAACGCAACTGTCTGACTTGGTGGATATGTGTGCTTGTCTTTGCCAGAATCATTTTGAAGTAACAGAAGAAGACAGGATGAGATCAGAAGCCAAGTCGACTGTCGCACCATGTCAGAAATTCAGTAAGTTGCATCAGATGGACACATCAAAGGCCTTCCCCGGGTAGACTTCGACCAAAACATACGCAGATCACGTGCATACATTTCGGCAGGTGTTCGTCATGGCAAGAGTTCCTCCTTGTAGATGTAGCGTGCATAACATTTTTCGATAGCAGTTGGGGATTGATGGCGGTGTTTTTCGTTTTCGCTATTACAATGTTTTGCACTGCTTCTTGGTCTCTCTCGCTCAATGTAGATAAAAGCATTCGGTTAATCTACCTATCTATCTATCTATCTATCTCAGCCTTTTCATCTATCTATCTATCTATCTCAGCCTTTTCATCTCACTCGCTTTCTCTCTCTCTCTATCTATCTATCTATTTATCTATCTATCTCAGCCTTTTCATCTATCTATCTATCTATCTCAGCCTTTTCATCTATCTATCTATCTATCTCAGCCTTTCATCTCACTCTCCAGCCTTTTCATCTCTCTCTCTATCTATCTATCTATTTATCTATCTATCTCATCATCTCAGCCTTTTCATCTATCTATCTATCTCATCTCATCTCCATCTATCTCAGCCTTTTATCTATCTATCTATCTATTTATCTATCTATCTCAGCCTTTTCATCTCACTCGCTTTCTCTCTCTCTCTATCTATCTATCTATTTATCTATCTATCTCAGCCTTTTCATCTATCTATCTATCTATCTCAGCCTTTTCATCTATCTATCTATCTATCTCAGCCTTTTCATCTCACTCGCTTTCTCTCTCTCTCTATCTATCTATCTATTTATCTATCTATCTCAGCCTTTTCATCTCACTCGCTTTCTCTCTCTCTCTATCTATCTATCTATCTATTTCTCATTTTCCATATCTATCTATCCCAGCCTTTTCATCTCATCTTTCTCTCTCTCTATCTTCTATCTATCTATCTCCCAGCCTTTCTATCATCTATCTATTTTCATCTATCTCTATCTATCCTTTTCATCATCTCATCTCATCTATCTATGCCTTTATCTCAGCCTTTTCATCTCTCATCTATCTATCTCTATTTATCCATCTATCTCAGCCTTTCATCTCTATCTATCTCTTTTCTCTCTCTCTCTCTCTCTATCTATCTATTTATCTATCTATCTCAGCCTTTTCTCATCTATCTATCTATCTATCTCAGCCTTTCATCTCATCCCTATTTATCCTTTCATCTCAATCCGCTTTCTCTCTCTCTATCTATCTATCTATCTTCTCATCTATCTATCTCCAGCCTTTTCATCTATCTATCCATCTATTTATCTCTATCTCAGCCTTTCATCTATCTCTATCTATCTCGCTTTCTCTCTCTCTCCTTTCTATCTATCTATCTATCTATCTATCTATCTATCTCAGCCTTTTCATCTATCTATCTATCTCATCTCAGCCTTTCATCTATCATCTATCTCATCATCTATCTCAGCCTTTTTCATCTCACCTCATCTCACTCGCTTTCTCTCTCTCTCCTTTATCATCTATCTATCTATTTATCTATCTATCTATCAGCCTTTTCATCTATCTATCTATCTATCTCAGCCTTTTCATCTCACTCCATCCCCAGCTTTCATCCCTCTCTCTATCATCTATCTCCATTTATCTATCTATCCCATCCTTTCATCTATCTATCTATCTATCTATCAGCCTTTTCATCTCACTCGCTTCTCTCTCTCTCTATTTATCATCTATCTATTTTTCATTTATCTATCTATCTCAGCCTTTTCATCCATCTATCTATCTATCTCAGCCTTTCATCTCATCTATCTCCAGCTTTTCTCTCTCCATCTATCTATCTATTTATCTATCTATCTCAGCCTTTTCATCCATCCATCCATCTATCTATCTCAGCCTTTTCATCTCCATCTCCATTTATCTTCCATCTCTCTCTCTCTATCTATCTATCTATTATTATCTATCTATCTCAGCCTTTCATCTATCTATCTATCTATCTCATCCCAGCCCTCCTTTTCATCTCACCTTTTCATCTCCACTTTCTCTCTCTCTCTATCTATCTATCTATTTATCTATCTATCTCATCTCAGCCTTTTCATCTATCTATCTATCTATCTCATCTATCCTTTTCATCTCTATCTCAGCTTTTCTCTCTCTATCTATCTATCTATCTATTTATCTATCTATCTATCTCAGCCTTTTCATCTATCTATCCATCTATCTATCTTTTCATCTATCTTTTCATCTCAGCCCCTCATCTTTCTCTCTCTCTCATCTATCTATCTATTTATCTATCTATCTCAGCCTTTTCATCTATCTATCTATCTATCTATCTCAGCCTTTTCATCTATCTATCTATCTATCTCAGCCTTTCATCTCATCCTTTTCTCTCTCTCTCCATCCCAGCCCATCCATTTCTATCTATCTATCTATTATCTATCTATCTATCCCAGCCTTTCATCTATCTATCTATCTATCTCATCCCCAGCCTTTTCATCTCACTTTCCCATCTCTCTCTATCCCCTCTCTCTATCTATCTATCTTTTTCCATCTATCTATCTATCTATCTCAGCCTTTTCATCCATCTATCTCTATCTCTATCCATCCATCCTTTTCATCCCACACTCCCTTTCCCTCTCTCTCATCTATCTATCTTTTATCTATCTATCTATCATCCATCTCATCCTTTTCATCTATCTATCTATCTATCTCCCAGCCTTTTCATCTTCATCTCCATCTCAGCCCTTTCTCTCTCTCTCTATCTATCCATCTATTTATCTATCCATCTCAGCCTTTTCATCCATCTATCTATCTCATCCTATCTCCTCCATCCCAGCCTTTTCATCTATCTATCTCGCCATCCATCTCTCTCTCTATCTATCTATCTATCTATCTATCTCATTTTCCCACCCTATCCTCTCTCTCTCTCTATCCATCTATTTATCCATCCATCCCAGCCTTTTCATCTATCTATCTATCTCAGCCTTTCATCCATCTATCCATATCTTCCATCATCATCTCATCCATTCTCTCTCTCTCTATCTATCTATCTTTCCCACCCTATCTATCTATCTCCATCCCAGCCTTTTTTCATCTATCTATCTATCTATCTCCCAGCCATCTTTTCATCTATCTATCTCCCATCTCCATCTATCTCCATCCATCCCAGCCTTTTCATCTCCATCCATCCCTTTCCCTTTCTCTCTCTCTATCTATCTATCTATTTATCTATCTATCTCCAGCCTTTTCATCCATTCATCATCTATCTATCTATCTATCTCTCTCTCCTCCATTCCATCCATCATCTCCAGCCCCATCCATCCATCCATCCATCCATCCCTCTATCTATCTATCTATCCATCTATCTATCTCATCTCCTCACCTCAGCCTTTTCATCTCCATCTATCTCTATCTATCTCATTTATCTTTCTATCATCCTTTCATCCATCCATCCATCTATCTCA